TGAGATATTAATTTTTATTGCAAAAATTTTAAAGTAGCAATAAAATTTAGTTTTAAAAACAAACGTTAAAAAAATCATTTATATTTTCAGTTTTGTCATCTGTTGCATTTTAAAACGGTTGTTAAAACATCTTTCTCTAAACTAAAGAAAAGGAAAATATGAACTAAAGAATAAGAAAGGAACTTTAAATTTCCTTTTTTAGCCTGAAAATTAAAAAAAATAATTGATTTTTAGTTACGCTGACCGAAAAGGCAAATTAAGTAACCTGACCACTGTGAATTAAGTCAGAGAAAAGGACAATTTTTACAAAAGATATTTAAAATGATGAACTATAAACAAAAATTTATCTTTTTCTTTTTTTAACACACACGTTGATGTCGACAGTGTCACGCCAAGTGTTACTAAAAGATAAAAAAATTGAAAATAAATTAATTTTTTGAATGTTATGGTTTTTAAAAGAAGAAAATATATTCAAAACTAAAAGTAGAGCTTTACGGATTTCTGTCGGCATTGAAATGCCGACAGAAAATTTTTCTTTTCTTTTACTTAAAAAAAAACAATAAGTGTTTATTAGTTTATTGGAAATAGAATTGATTAATTTTTCAATGAAGTGATAGAAAAGAAAAGAGAATATTGAACTGTTTCACTAAAGTTTTTAACTACTTTTTAAAATTAAAACGAAACTTAAAAAAATTTACGTTGGTTTTAAAATGACCTTTTTAATGACGTATTATGATTTTTTTAAAACAACTGAACTTTTTCATAATGCGAATAGACAGTTGTTAAGAAAATAAACTATTTTTCTGTTTTTAACTATTTTAGATTTTAAAAAAAAAACATGTTCGTCGTTTGTCAATGAAAGATCGCAGTTTTAAACTATTTCCATATCAAAATTGAATAATTTTTAAAACAATATGAAAATATCTGACTGCTTGGGATTGTATTGTTCAAATGACATATTAGGAAGATTATTCATAGAAATATCGTCTAATTTAATAATTATTAAAGTAAGTACTTTGTTTATTTAAGTATTAGTTCACTGTTCATTCTTTTATTTCCTCAAGAAAAAAAGGAAGAAAGTAACAAACAGAATTGCCAGTGTACCTTTAAGCCTTAAAAAAAATTAAAATAACCCTTTCTTTTCGCTAGTCACAAAGAACCAGTTGAAATAATACTGAAATCAAAACTGACCCCTTCACCTTTGAAAATAACTAACATATTATGATTATTACCTGTACAGGGTAGTGATGGCATTTTAAGAGCTGACCTCTGTGTTTGTTGTGGAACCATCTGCAGCCCTTCTCAATTGTAGTCCATAAAAGCGAATGCCGTTTTTGTTGTTTTTTTTTTCCCGTTTTCTTTTTTTTCTTCTTTTTTTTTTTTGTGTGTGTGTTGTTGTTTTTTGGGGAGGTTGGGGCGTTAAACTTATTTTTTTTTTTTTACTTCCTATTGTCTACCGGTAGACAGTTGATGATCAAAATGAGTAATAATATAATGGGAGTAGCGTTCAATGACGATAGTGCTGTCGGTAAAAATTAAATAACAAAGTACTTCTTGCCCTGTCTGTCCGTCAATCGGTCTGTGTGTCGTATATGTTTAGAATTATTTGATTAGCTCTGTTACTAAAAAAATAAAAATAAAAGCTGATTTTGCCGGGGTCTTTAGGCCCTCCGGCTTCATTACAGTATAACATTGTCTTTTTTTCCCACTACAGACAGTCTAATATTCTCCTTATGCAACTCCGAACTGCCATTTAACTATCACAACAAGCTAAGCACTTAACTCCAATATGATGCATACAAGCATGTATAGTGTGTGTACGTGAGTGTGAGAGGAGGTATAATGTGTACATATGTTTGAATCTTGTTAGGTGTCTGTGTATGCAATGTATTGTGTATATACATTTCTGTCAGGGCTTGTTTGTGTGCGTGTGTGTCTGTGGTTATCAGTATACGTCAGGTGCGTATTATTGCTAAGAAACGTTGTTGCTTGGTGGATGTAAGTTGGCCTGTTGTTAGCTGCTGCTACTACTACTACCTTTTCAATAATGTCCACTACTAGAGAAAGAAGATGCAGTAGTAGGAACTGTGCAGTGGTGGTAGCCGTGGTGTACTTAAAAATCAGTAGATATAGTTAGTACTAGCAGATTGTTATTCATCTGACCAATATCTAATGTTGTAGTTGTTGTTGTTTTGAACCGGGCACCAGTTAAGATAGACGACAACAATATACCATCACACTAGCCCTGTGACTGGTGGTGCTACCAACCTCAGCAGACAGACTGATAGTCAAGCTGCGTAGGCGCACACGCATAACAAACTGGAAAGATGCTGTCTTACTTCATCCTGAGATGCTGGTGGGAGATCTTCTTCTTCTTGTCGTGTTGGTACCCCAAAGGATAACATTATTATTATTATTATTATTATTATTATTAACAACGTTGCATCATCATCATTATCATAATCATCATCTATCATTTAATTCTAATTCATTAACGTTTTTTTTTCTCTTTCTCATCGACTGCAACCGCAGTACTACTACTAACAGAACAGCCTGCCGTCAATCCAGATGACAGACGTGTATATTGATATCATCAAAAGTAGATTCAAATGTGTGTAGCTATTATAATTAGTCAGTGTCACGGGTCCTAGATTGCATTTTTTTGAGAGGAACTATATGGGTTTGACATGATTTTTTTTTAAAAATACGTAGACACCTTGCGTGCGCACACGCGCTCACACACACGCACATAGGTAAGTAAGTAGACTCAGGTAGATAGTATAAATCAGAAAATTACACGCAGGAAGGCTGAAACGTTCCTGTTTTTAAGTTCTGAGAGTAAAAGAAAAGAGGCCTGGCAGCCCACAGACCTGAGCTTTTCCATCTTCACAAGCACCAGACTGGTCAGTTCGTTGTCACAAACGAAGAAAACTATGGACTCTGATTAAAATTTGTAGAGATCAAACTGGCCATGGCAACGAGCTTGTAGTTAACTTTACTAGCAACAATTTTAGCTATTGTTTAAACTTGCCTTTTTAAAACGATACTTTTTGGTTATTCTAGTTTTATTCCTTGAACTCAACAGAAGTGGATATACACAATGAATACACTACACTACACACAAATTGAAGAAAGAGGTTCAGTGTTATTTCCTTGGATGGGGAATACGCGTGTAACACAAGTGCAAAAAAAAAATGCACATTTTCAATGCTGGTTATTTTTGAGAGGGGAATTAAAGAAAGTATTTTAAAAAAAGAAAAAAAATCTGGGAGCAACACCCTGTCACTTTTTGATTAAAAATATCAGCTTATGTTATTTTGAGGAACTAAGTGACAAGATTGAAAAATGTTATCACCGAGATTAGACTGTGAAAACCTTGAAATATTAATACTGGAAACAATGATAGGCAATTAAAATCATCAATCTTCAAGCAAACATCATAGAGCCCCACACGCAAAAAGACAAATTCGTCTCTTTTCATATTAAGTTAACCATTCCTTTGTAAATGATATAATTATTTGCCACTCCCCCATCTTCTCTCTTTCTCGCTTATATATTTCCTTCCTTTTAAAACTAAGCTTGACTGTAGTTCATGAACTGACATCTTTCTTTATCTTTATCATTTGGGGAAACTATTTTAAGAAAAAGACTTACGTTATACACAATATAACAAACATTTTGTCATCCACTTCGTGTGTGTGTGTGTGCGTGCATGGTAGCTTCATGAACGAATATCTGCAAATAAATCAGATTCATACGGAAACGATTCTTATTTTTAAAATTGGATTTTAGCAGTTAAAATAAATAAATAAATAAAACGCGAAAAAATGAAAAAGAAACAATGTTCCTTTTTTCTGTTTGAAAATTGCAAGCAAGAATCGAACAGTTAATTTTCTGTTGTGCTTGTGACTATTCCGAAGACCACGCTCTGGGAAACCTGTTAGTGTTGGGATCTGACATGCAAATTGAATTCACAAACTTCTTTAGCTTAAAAATTTATTTATTTCTTAAACAATATTGAAATGATATTTATGAGAAAATAATCCAGTTAATGACCAAGCAAGCATTAATCGATATTGCAAGGATTTAATCCAGTTTAAATGGATAAAAAAGGTTGTGTCGGGTTTTAAATAAGTCTAGTTCATTGTGGAGAAAAATAAGTTCTAAGCAGTCTCTGCATTTGTTGACTATATAGTGAATACTTCCTCTCGAGGATCGGGTCGTTAGACTGACCGAGAGACTGAAGCTAAGGTCAATAAAGACCGGGTAAAGCAGCGAATAATGTTGATGATGCTGCTGATGACGACGACGAGAAAGATGGTAGCGGCGGCGTTGATGATGATGAAGCAGCTAGACGAAGTAATTGGAGGTGATTGTGGGGGGTAGAGGAAACAAGACGAGAGTCCTGTTTGCCTGACCCACCCTAGATAAGTTGAAGAAATGAAAAGGCAGGAAAAAAAGGACAAAACGGAAGAGAAAAAGAAGCAGGGTAGACAGATAGACAGACAGATAGGGAATGAGATAGATAGATAGATAGATAGATAGATAGATAGATAGATAGATAGATAGATAGATATAGACTAGACTATAATGTAACTATGGTAGAAGTAAGATAAACGAAGTAGGTAGGATTCAAGGAGTAAGATAAAAAAAATGAAGAGATTGAAGCAAGAAAAGAGTTCTGAAAAGGGAAAGAGAGATTGGGGTTTAATGTATACAGATAAAATAGGGAACAAAATAAAAATAAGTAAGAAAGTTTAGACTGAAGCAGGCTAATAAGGGAAATTAGAAAAATAGAGAAAAGATGATGAGGAAGAAAAAAAATAAGAGAGAAAAAACTCACAAAAATCTAAAAAGAAAAGAAAAAAAAAAAGTCCATCAAATAGTGAATTATATGTGCATAGCTTACATCACCACTGGAAAAAATGCATAAATTAGATAAGCAAACATGACATTGGATTCCTCAGCCTCCTTGCACAGCTCCAGGCACAGTTTCTGTAATGAGTATTAAGAAGACTACTTTCTTCTTAGAGCAAAAAGAAAGAGTGTATGCTAAAGGGAGGGGACAAAAAAAGAAAGTAAAAAAAAAAAAAATAGGAAAGCTTAGAGAAGGAGAGGGAAAGAGAAAGAAAGTAAGCTGGAGAGAGGAAACAGATTTTCCCCATCTATCTATCTATCTATCTATCTATCTATCTATCTATCTATCTATCTATCTATCTATCTATCTATCTAATGTGTGCATTTGATTCATTGAAAAACAAAAAAAAAAAAAAACTAAAGGTGTTGTTGGCTACGAAAGGGTCTATTAAGTGTTGGATTGAGAGCAAAAAGAAAAATACTCTTGATAAGTTTTTCCTTCTTCTTTTCAAATACTAATTTTTATTCCGTGATCTTCGGAAACCTGCAGTAAAAGACTGTCTTTTCTTTCATTCTTATTTTTCTTTGCTCAACTTCACCCATCTTTCCGTGACTCTCCCTGCATATTTTTATTCATATCTATCTATCTATCTATCTATCTATCTATCTATCTATCTATCTATCTATCTATCTATCTATCTATCTACTTACCTACCTACCTCTACCTCCCTACCCCTTCCTTTCCTCTTTGGCCATTACTTTTTAAAAGTCATTAATCTTGTGCTAACATGACAGTGCAAGTACAGTTTATTCCATTTGACAAAATTATCTATCCGTTAGGTTTTTTTCCCCTCTCTCACCTTATCTACTTTTTATTCCCTCTCTCATCTTATCTATCTACATTTTATTCCCTCTCTCACCTTATCTACTTTTTATTCCCTCTCTCACCTTATCTACTTTTTATTCCCACTCTCACCTTATCTATCTATCTATCTATCTATCTATCTATCTATCTATCTATCTATCTATCTATCTATCTATCAGCTTTTTATTCTATCTATAAGTTTGTCTATCATGCCGGCAGCCTGTGTTGAACAGTATGTCTATAAATCAACATTAGCAAAGAAAAGATATTTGGGTCTAGCACGTTATTTCATATCTACCACACATCGACCCCGACACCAGTTCTTGCCCCCACTGCTGTTGCACTCCCACCCACTCACCGACCAACACAACCAACACACTGCCTCTTATTTCTTTTTACTCTTCTTCTATTAAGTTGGTGCTACACAGGGCTATTTCTGCCCCCCGCCCCCGCCACCTAGTGATATCGGAATGTGCTAGCTATCTCATTAGTTAGAAAGAGATTTCAAAAGGTCGTTCACTTACTCTCCGACCACACAGACACCATCAACTCAAGAAAGAAAAAATCTTTTTCTTTTTCTTCTTCTTCTTTTATAACATCAGCAGTTGTAGGCTGCAGGGGCTGGTATGTTGGTTTTCACCTCTTCAGGCCAACTTTGCTCTGTAAATTCCACGATCAATGGCCGGACCCTCTTGCACACAGACTATCTCTATTTTACCTCCCTCGCCCTTCAGAACGTCCTATACTTCAACCCTGCGCCCAAACCATTTCTACTTACCCAGTCCCGACCCCAAACATATTCTTTCTTTTCTTTTCTTTTCTTCCACTTACATTTTTTTGCTTCTGTACATTTTATTGTTTCTGCCACTTCTTTGTCTTCCTTCAGCTCTGA